CCGACCCCAACCCATGCCCTCTTCCATCGCCACCCACCTCCTCAAAGCCGCCGCCGCAAAGCCCCTCTTCTCCCCCCGCGCGGCCCAGATCCCCGCGCTCCCCCGCTCGCCCGCCGCCCGCCGCCCGCCCGCGCCCACCGCCGCCGCCTGCCGCTGGTTCCGGTGGCCGTCGCCCGCGAGGGGGCTCTGCTCCTCGCCGCATTCCGGCCCTGCCGAGGGGATGGGATCTGACGGGACGGGGGCCAGGAGGCGGCTGCCGCCAGCCAACGGTGTGTCCAAGGAAGTGGCGCCGCTGCCCCAGCCCGTCCAGCCCAGGCTGCTCACGCTGCCCACCGTGCTCACCATTGGCCGCGTCGCCGCCGTCCCGTTCCTCATAAGCAGTAAGCGCCAACTAAGCTTTGCTTTGCTTTTTTCTAACTTAGTGTATACTACTTTACAGTTGGACACATGTTGCACAAGATCGATGCAAGTGTGAGATTTCCTTTACTGATCACTCGATCACGCACAGTAGTAGGCTAAAGGTAGCTGCTGAAAGCACTGACTAGTTGTAGGATTTTCTTTGGCCTTGGACTGGTTAGTTGGATTTCATTGTTTTCCGCGAGCAATCTTAGAAGAAGTGTGTGCAAAGTGGTTTGCTTTCCCTGTCTCGCCACGTTCCGGTATCTTGCACAAACAGCTTTCTTAGGCTGCCTAACTCTCAAGGAAAATAAGTCAGCAGCAGAGGAAACTTGAAATCATATAATCCCTGAATCACTGCAGCATGGACAACTAGTCAACTACTACTACTGACACATATGGCAAGAGCAAATGACCAATACACAACTCTTCCTAAGCCTTGCTGTGTAGTTTCTGATACTGCAGCGTTTCCACTATCCATATTTCCATAGTTTTAAACTAGGGTCATGCTTTGTCAGTAGTTAACATACAGGGCTACCTATGCAAGCCTAAACTGTCTCTTTTGTCCTCTATATGCTTTTGTTTGACCCAAGCTAGTTCGACTTACAGACTATCACAGTTACTAGACTCGAGAGATGCAATTTCTATGTCACGCAGCACGCACTGATGTGCATGGTCTGCTTAATCTCTTTTGTCCAAATCTTCGCAAAGTCATATTGTATTCGCGGGTTTCCTTTTGCATTCTCGATGTGTGCTTCCTCTCCATCGGTGAAGAGTACTTCTAGTGAACTTTATCCTTTATAAAGATTATGGCTGTTTCAAGAGTTCCATCATATTTTCTGGAACCACAGGGAAGAACATAGCTATCCTATTCTGAAAATGAAACTGAAAGATATACTAAATATTGTCTTCATCACGAAACTGGAACAAGCTGCAATTTGACGTATCCTATCACCATAACTGAGTCATGATCTGCCAGCGTTGCATTCTTTAGCCATTAGGGTAAATTGTATGCCAACAGTTTAGCTGAGTGTTCTGTAGCTAAAAGGTGTAAAGCTTTTGAGTTTCTTTTCTTCAGCTGAAAGCCTAAAATTTATTACTTTATTGCCCATGGCTTCATTGAACTGACCAATAGCATACTTTTGCTGTCAATTATTCATGTCGACGGTTAAATGGACTGCTCATGTGTCATCTATTGAAATTTTGAAATAGTGCCTGTTGTTTACTGGTGGCCAAATAGCATTTTTATCACAGGAACCAACAGCTTACTTTCCATGCAGTTCGCTGTTGGTTGATATCTGATATGCATTTGGCACTTTTTTTTTTGTATTTGTTATGTTTGACATAATAATCTTAGTTTGACTATGGAAATATCCCTTTTTGTGTAGTTAATTAATAGCTTGTTATCTCTACTGTTACCAGCTTTCTACATGGATGGTCCTTGGGCAGCAACTGCCACAACTGGCATCTTCCTTGCTGCAGCGATCACTGATTGGCTAGATGGTTATATTGCGAGAAAGGTGTGTCAGAAATATTTGCTGAATATAATATGCTATACTGGGTTACTCTATAATCATTTTTCCTCATGCCATTGTTTCCTGACATAATGTATTATGCAGATGCATTTGGGAACACCTTTTGGTGCATTTCTTGATCCTGTGGCCGACAAGGTTTCTTTCTCTTTTTGCTGCTCTGATACTTATTCACAATGTTGTATACGCTCTTATCTGTAGACTGTCAGTTTCCAAAGTGTGAGCTATTCTCGAGAACTAACTTCGTCGCTGCTATTCTCTACTGCAGCTTATGGTAGCTGCGACACTAGTGTTGCTGTGCACCAAACCTTTGGAAACTTCACTGCTCACGAATGGACCATGGCTTCTGACAGTTCCTTCCATTGCCATCATTGGGAGAGAGGTAGTTACCCAGCCAAATCTACATCATCATTTCCCAAAAATGCAAGGAAAAACCATTTTCTAGTTCACCTATCTATAATTATGGAAACATTAAGATGGTAGTTTGATTTCTTTAATTTTGGCCTTATGCTGATATAAATATGTATATGTTTGTTCTGTTGTAAGTGTGAGATCTTGCCTTCCTGTGGGAATAGTAGGGATGCAAGGCGGCGCCCGAACCCGGCCCGCTCCGTATACAAAGTAGAAAAAGCTAGTTTTAATTAGGCTGTGCTGCTGTTAGGCAAAGTTGTACTAATTAAGCACTTTCGCGGGTCTATGCGGGACGCCATTCTGCACCCCTAGGGAATAGGATGTTCATGTATTTGTCATGGCTATCTGATCTTATCTCTAAATAAGCCTGTCAAGCCAACATGATAAGTTAGCAACTTCCAATTATACCCTGGCTATTCGTCTCTTTCTGGTTGAATATACGCAGTATGTGCTTCAGTAGATGAAATGAAGGGGCTCTTTTGCCAACCTCTGTACTGTTTTTTATGGAGGCATGGATTGAGTGCACATTGCTTCAGCTTGATTGAGTGTCTCCACCATGAGGCTTATTTGAAACAGAACTGGAGCATGCACCCTTCTGATGCATCAAGCAAGGTAGTCAGAATCATGATTCTGAATCGGATCGGAGCTCTGTTATTAGGGTCGCAAATCGTAGAATATTAACTATCAGAACTGTAGAAATGTAGATTCTATTAGCCAAAATCGTAGAATCGGAGGGGTTAAGTTTGGATTGTAAAGCCGTAGAATCATACAACAGAATCGTGATTCCGACAACCTTGGTAAAGTGTTGAGAAGCTCAGAATAATCAAATTACGCCAAAAGCAGGGCCTGCCCAGATGTTTCGGATGTCGCTGGGCAAAATATGGCCTGTAAATCCAGGGTTGTGACCGTGTACCTACTAATACACTATGTGCATGGTTCGTAGACCGTTGCAGTTTGCACTTTTCGCCCTACCACAGGGCTGGTCCGCCTAAAAGTCGAGAGGAAATTACCAGATTTGTACGACCTTCGATTCTATGTGAATATGTGGTGTGCCATGGGCAACTTTTAGTTTGTTTCCTGGCTCAGTAGAAACAGACATATATGTGGGATGGAAGCACTTTGCCTCTTCAGTTAGATTGAGTCGCTCTACCTCTACCATATGGCTTGTTTGAATCAAAACCAGAGCATGTATGAAATGAAAAAAAAATCTTTATGCTTCAAGATATTTAGAAGCTATGAACGATTTCTATAAGTGTGCTACCCAAAAAAGTTTGATAAAAGTAACAGATTTGACATTTAACTTTCCATTTTCCAATTCCATGTGAGTGGTGCTTTGGAGCAACTTTACTTCACTTTTCTCATGGGCCCAGACATATATATCCATTTGCCATTTCGAGAGTTATCTTCTGATATGAGTTATGATAGTGTGCTATGCTTGTCACGAGCTAATGTTCTGGCGTATCTGTTTCTGTAGATCACAATGTCAGCTGTTAGAGAGTGGGCTGCGTCTCAGAATACCCAAGTTCTTGAGGTTCCTTCTGTCATCTACTGTCTTACATTGCCTTAATTAGACATTCAAATACTGAATTTGTACTTGCTACAAACAACAGGCTGTGGCAGTAAACAATTTAGGGAAGTGGAAGACAGCGACACAGATGACAGCATTGACTCTGCTCCTTGCCAGCAGAGACCCGAGGTACTTGCATTTTCTTTGACCGAGCTTAAAGCCTCGTCATTGTTTTACTGATTTTGCATGCTGACTGGTTTTTTTTTGGCGCTGTTGTTGTGCAGTCTACATGTACAAGGTGCTCTAGTCCCCCCTGGTGTTGCGTTGCTCTATGCATCTGCTGGACTTGCCATATGGTCCCTAGTGGTGTACATCAGAAATATATGGCGGATACTTCTAAAATAGTGTTAGCACATAGTGTAATAGAAGAAACAGGAGCAAAGGCGACGATATTCCATTCAAGATGCTGCAATTTTTTTGGAAGATTGTTGAGTTGATTGATGGGGCCTAGATCTTGTTGAGATCCTCGTGTGACCCGTGCCATTGGTGCTTGGCGGATTAGCCGCCAAAGCTTGTTGAGCATGCGAGGATCTCTTTAGAAGCAAAATATATAGCTCGTAGCCTGTGATGCCAGGGTGATCTACTTTCACGGAAGGTAGCCACAGCTTCGAGTGTTGGACACCGTGTGTAATGAGCTGCAAGACTGGAGACGATGCAGACGATTGTAACCGTATACAAGCGCAGACCAGGCGGCTGGCCTGTGCGTGTGGAGTTCCTGCCACTGTAATTTTACCCATATCATATTGCCAGGGAGCACAAAATTATTCTTTCAATGTGTTTCACTCGCTTCTTGCATGCGAGCCGCTGTCATGCATCTGCTGGTTTCCTTGCTGTTCTCGTTTTGCACATACTGCACTTGTGATTTAACAGAGAATTTCGGTGGATAGAGTACCGAGGGCATCTCCAAAGGAGCCCCTCAAACCCTTTCCATATGTCTGGACGGACAGCTCGAACACTGTCTCGACAGAAAACACACCTCCAATGGTAGCCCTCAAACCCAAGCCAAATATGGATGGAATATTGCTGGCTTGGGAAGGTTTTAGAACAAGGATGGATGGAATATTGCTGGCTTGGGAAGGTTTTAGAACAAGGATGGATGGATGGATGGATGGATGGAGGATGATGACGGATTTGAGTGTGTTCTTCTTTGGGTTTGTTTGGTTCCATGGGATTTGGAGGGGGTTGAAGGGGATTAAGAGGGATTAAGTCTGAATAGCTTTGATGATTTTGTTGCATGTCATTATAACCGGAACGAGATGTTCTCGGTGGACACCAGTTCGGGAATTCATACCAAACTATGGCGTCATCATCTAGAGGATCGAACCTAATCTGGAAGAAGGTCTGGGCACTTTAGGTTCCTGGTAAGGTCAAAACTTTTGTGTGGAAAGTGTTACATGGAGCCATTCCCGTTAAATCAACTTTGACGAATCATCATATTGGGACGAATTCGACCGGTGTCCAATTTGTCATGATCATCCAAAGACCTGAAACACTTGCTATATGAATGCACACCAGCAAAAACGATGTGGAACATACTAAAACTAGAACAAGCAGTATTATATTCATGTATTGTAGACAGGTCAGGTTCGGCTGTCTTGGAGTTGTTGGATTCCTCAACGAGTCATTACCCTGATCTACCTCAGGGAGGGATTGCGGAGGTTGTGGCGATCGCAACATGATACATATGGTGGATCAAACACACAGTCACAAACAAGGAGAGGACACCCCCAGCAACGAATTGGAAGTTATCTGTTCTGTCCCTATGCACAAACTTCACCAAAACAGCTCAGAGTAATAATAACACAAGAGAAGTAGTTAAATGGATGAAACCAGGTTCACGTCAAGTTAAATTAAATGTAGATGCCTCGTTCCATTTGAAGAGGGAGAAGGGGTGACGGGCGCGGTTCTGTGACAAGATAGGCAATTTCCTTGCAGGTGCATGTTTTTATGTTCCACACTCGTCATCGGCCATGATGATGGAAGCACTAACAATGAAAAAATACCTTGAACTGGTGGCATCTTTGGGCTATCACCAAGTCGTTGCTGAATCTGATTGTTTGGAGGTGATTGAAGTTTGCAAAGGAGGACAAACATGGTGTAATGAAGAAGCTGCAGTTTACGCAGACTGTATTGATCTGCTGATGGAAATAGAAACAATTCAATACTCTCACTGTCTCCAGGAGGCCAATGGTGTCGCACATGAGATAGCGAAACATGGTTATGAAAATCATTTATCTTGTAATTGAGTAGATGATTACCCTTCTTTTCTTACCGCACATGAGGTGCTTATTTGATTAATAAAGTAAGCCATGATAGCATTTCCTTGGAAAAAAGAGGGATTAAATTCCTACATGTCAAAATCCTCCTCAATCCCCTCCAACCCCCTTGTGGAGTAGATTAACCACAAGCACTTGTGGGTTTCTGTTAGTAGTAATGTATGATGTCATTTGTATGTTAGTGTATGAAGAACAACATCATCTGGCCCACCACGGACCCTACAACCGCCTCAAACTCTAGCCGGAAAACCTAGCCTTCACTCTCTTCACTCCACTCCTCCCAATCTGCTCGCACCTCTCCTCTTCGGTCATGTCCCCGTGGTCCCACACCGCCATGTATGGCTCCGGAGCGGAGGAGGATCCAATCGACTGGGACACGCTCGCTGCGGAGGATGACAGCGATCTCGCTCGTAGCCGATCGGGTGGCTCATCTAGTCGGGCCTCGTCCCCCATCGTCCTTGTCGGGTTCCTCTAGCTACACGCCCTCTAGCGGTCCAGCGGGGCTTTTGCAGCTCAGGGTCGGCCCCTCCATGGCGATCGACGTGCCTCCCTCATCAATGTAGGAGCAACTAGTCTGCGGCGTCCTATACCGGTCCTTGCCCAGTAAGGAGACCGATGCCCATCAATTCTTCTAATATTTTAGATAGAAGAAAGTGTTGGAAGAACACTAAGACATTGAAGGAGGGCTCGAGGTGTCGAAGCCTTGACGGACTTCTAGAGTCCTCCGACTCCGATGTCGTCCCCCAACAACGACACCTACTTCGTCTTCGAGCTTTACATAAGGGCAAGGGCAAATGCTGGTGAAGGTACTTCCCTGTATAGTATGCCCAATACGATGTCCTTTTGTTATTGAACTATCGTCTGTCATCTATCATTTGTAGTATGCTATATATGAACTATGTATGAACTGACATATCATACTCTCTTCATTCCTTTATGTAAGGTGCATCTTTTTGGGCGCAATGACTAAGGCACAGATTTGAAGATAATTTTCGACAAAAATACCATTAGCTAATTAGGTAGTTAGCAGGTTGATTATCGACAGCTAAATAACTAGCGGCCATTAAAAGGCAACTAAATCTTGCTGCATCAGAATAAAATCCGGTGGGATGGGAGAGAGAAATGTGAGTACAGAAAATCAGAGAGATATATTCTATTTTTACTACCTTCCTATTGGGAATACACGTTACTTTTTATCTAAAGCATGTAATGGATGGTGGAAGGGCACGCATGAAAAATCGCGAGGAAAAGAGAAATACACCTTACATTGTGAATTTTTTAGAAAAAACTAATACACCTTATATAAAGAAACGGAGTGAGTACGTAGTTTGTGTGTTTGTATTGATCGACGTCGCATGGGCTGCATGGATTTGGGGTTTATAAAATAGGGGATATTGTTGTCCGGAGGGACAGATGATATCATGAGATCGACCCCTCGTTGTTTGCGGCAATTTTGAAGTCGGTAGAGGTGGTCCAACACATTTTTTTTAACATCTCCAACACATGCTCTTGGATCCTCCAACTCATTGGTCATCTCATCTCATCATCTCAAAAAAGAAAAGAAAAACTCTTTCAGTTGGTCCAGCTTGCCCGCTCTCGACGGCTTAGATCGCGTGGATTTAGATCTAGCGGCCGCAACTCGAACTGAGAAACCCGCCCCCCGGCCCCCAAAACGGAGCAGAGTCCTCGCGAGTCATGAACATGGGATGAGGCTACCGGCGTGGCTCACCGCCGTGCCGCCGGACCCCCGCGTGTACGGTGACCTCATCCAGCGCTGCGCGGACGCCGGCCACCTCGCCACCGGCAGGCAGCTCCACGCCCGCCTCGCCACCCTCTCCGTGATCCCCTCCAACTTCCTTGCCTCCAAGCTCATCTCACTCTACTCCAGAACCGGACGCCTGCACGACGCCCGCAGGGTGTTCGACGCCATCCCGCAGCCCAACCTCTTCGCCTGGAACGCCATCCTCATCGCGCTCTCCCTCCACTCGCCCCAACCCTCCGCGGCTCTTCGCCTCTTCGCGGCCTCCGGCGTGTCCCCCGACGAGATCACCGTCTCCGCGCTCCTCAAGTCCCTCGCCGCGTCCGGGCCGGGCCTGTCCCCTCTCGTCACCGGGGAGCTCCACGCCCTCGCGTTCCTGCGCGGGTTTGGCGCGGACCTCTTCGTGTCCAATGGGCTCATCACCGCCTACGCGAACGCTGGGGACATGCGCTCCGCTCGCGCGGTGTTCGACCAAATGCCACGCAAGGACGTCGTGTCCTGGAACTCTCTTATATCAGCGTACACCCGTGGAGGATGGTACACAGAGTGCTTGGAGTTATTCCATGAGTTGGTGCAGGCTTGCGCTGGCGGTGGCGTTCGGCCAAACAGCGTCACGGTAACAAGTGTGCTGCATGCTTGTGCCCAGCTCAAGGCTGTTGATTTCGGGGTCTATGTCCTCCGGATTGCTAAGGAGAGTGGGCTTGATATGGACACCGCAGCATGGAACTCAGTCGTAGGGTTTTACGCCAAATGTGGGCGGTTGCACTATGCACGACAGTTGCTTGAAAGGATGCCTAAGAAAGATGCGGTCAGTTACAGCGCCATGATTACTGGTTACATGAACAATGGGCATGTCGATGAGGCAATGGATCTTTTCCGTCAAGCAGATGCTAAAGGCATCAGCACATGGAATGCGTTGATTTCTGGATTGATACAAAATGGACGCCAGTCTGACGTTCTTGAATTGCTTCATGAGATGATGGGTGCTGGGATACTGCCCAATACAGCTACTCTTTCAATCATCATGCCCTCAGCACCGTTGTTCTCAACCCTACTGGGAGCAAAGCAAGCTCATGGTTATGTGATAAGAAATGATTATGATCAGAGCAACAATGTTGTCAGTGCATTGATCGATGCTTACTCAAAGGCTGGATTTCTTTATATGGCCAGGAAGGTGTTTGAATTGCATGAGAATAGAAGCACGATTGCCTGGACATCGATCATTTCGGCTGTCGCAGCTCATGGAGATGTTACGGAGGCACTGGACCTGTTTAATCAGATGGTCAGTACTGGCACTAGGCCTGATACTGTAACTTTCACTGTTGTGCTTACTGCATGTGCTCATGCGGGCAAGGTAACCGAAGCTCGTGAATTTTTTCACTCCATGCAAGCTATGTTTGGTATCAGTCCTGTGATGGAGCAGTATGCTTGCATGGTTTCTGTACTCAGCCATGCTGGTATGCTTAAGGATGCGCTTGACCTTGTAAACAAGATGCCTTTTGAGCCAAATGCAAAGGTCTGGGGTACACTGCTTAATGGAGCAGCCGCAGTTGGTGATGTTGAGCTTGGTCGGTTTGTGTTTGATCGACTGTTCATAATAGAGCCTAAGAACACAGGTAACTACATTGTGATGGCTAATCTGTACTCAAATGCTGGCAAATGGGAAGAAGCTGAAACCATAAGGAGCATGCTGTGGGGAGTTGGATTGGAGAAAGTTCCTGGGTGTAGTTGGAATTGAGGGGTTCCATAGTCTGCTAGAACTGGTTGCTGCAGATACATTGTTAGCAAAGCGGGCAACAGAAACTTAATTTGGTTGTTGGTTGATTAATCAGATTCAATTATAGACAAGAGCCTGGCATCAACCTAACTGTTGAATGGAGACAATTTATAGTGATGACATTCAATAGATCCAACTGTTGAGATGTAATTTTCAAGCCTGATAGGTACCAGCCTTTTGGATTTACATGGACCATCTTATTCCGAACCTGATGGTCAATCATATTGATTTGATTGAGCAACAAATTCTTGGACGACAGCCAATGAGAGCATTGCTTCCATGATATTCTTATCTAAACCTTTTGTACTATGAGCTGACGATACTTTTCTTATCTTTATTTGCTATTTCAATGACACCAATTTACCAAAGCAACAGAGAATTTCATGATCATAGTTTCTTAGAACCAAGAGCAGTCTAGTTTTAAGCTTCAGGATGCCAAGCCTGATCTGTTTCTTTATGAAATACTAATATCAAGGTGCAGAAGAATCGATTCCATAAAGAAAAAGTTCCTTTCATACCCTAGATCCAATGAATAATGAGAGCATTGCTTCCATGATATTCTCATCTGAACCTTTTGTACTGTGAGCTGACAATACTTCTCTTATTTTTATTTGTTATTTCAATACATCAGTTACTGAAGCAACATATATTTTCATGATCATAGTTTCTTAGAAGCAAGAGCAACCGTGTTCTAAGCTTCAGGATGTCAAGCATGGCATGTTCCTTCTGGATGTAATACTAAGATGAGGCTAGATGAGAAGAATCGATTTCATGAAGAAAAGTTGCTTCCACACCCTAGATCGAATGAATAATGGCTTTTCCTTGTCGCATTAATATGGAAAAGTAAAGCTACTCTTAGGAGTTAGGATCATGTGCACCCATGATTCAGATGTGCATCTTTGTGTGTACTTGGTATTTGCACTGTTAAAATATCATTTAAAACTTTTTTCTTCCTGCAGAAAATAAACTGATTCCTGTAAATTTTACGTGAAGTTCCTGTTTTCGAAACATTGTCCGCATATGTAGAAATACCTAAGTTAGGAGTGCAAAGAGATCGCACAACAAGATCTGCCTTTTGGGGTTGATTATGGTTCACATGCTTGGATCATCCTACTTCTCTACTTCCCAGCTCATGAAGTCCAAAAGAAGAAGAGCACGCAAGCAGCTCCCAGGTTTGTTACCTAACTTATTCTGGACTCGCTACCAGAAAAGCATATATGCCTGTTATTTCGTTGTGTGGCCACACTGCTCACATGCTAAAACTTCACAGGCCGAAAGGCCGCCCAAACGAGGAAAGGAGATAATGTTACCGGTGGGAACTTTGATGAGATGAAAACAACAGCCTGCAATCTTGATGCGTGGCGGTGCAAGACACCCCGGAGCCTAGCTTGGAGTTCAAGTGAAGCCAAGTGAGTATAATCACCCCCATCACTACAATCGTGTTTCTTTTTTAGATTTGTGAATAAATGCATCTCTTTAATCATACACAGTGTACAGCTAGCCACGCACCTCCATCTCAACATATGCGATGAGAGCATAAGACGATGCATCATGCATGGAGGTGGTCCGGGTGGAAGTGGAACACTCGATAATTTGGATCATAGCACGCACACACACGCGTAGTAGTGCGGTGAAAAAATTACCACACAACAACAAGCACTCAAGCAGCAAGGGCATATCACTATATCAGAGGGGCTGTTGTCACTTTCATTTCCTTTTTGGCATTATGTTATACATCCCCACCGTCAGCATGCATTTCTTGACAACTTTTGAATTCGAAACTTGGCAGGTGGTCAATTAATCTGTGTCTTGTCCGTGTTCCCGTGTCTCGATCCAAATCTGGAGTTTCAAAATGGTCTGAATTTTTGTCTTGGTGCTACTATTGTGCATGCGTGCGTGCGTGCGTGCTGACGGAGTACGTGTAATCTTGTGCACGTGATGCACCTCCCAGATCACGGTAATGGCCAACGGTGAGAGAAGGCGTATATCAGTATTATGCGTCATTTGTGCGTTGGCCGTGTAGGCGAGCAAAGCATGGCATGTGGCATGGGCTATGCGTGCCTGCAATCACTTGCCGGAGAAGCCCAGCATCATCATCGTCCATCAGCCTCTGGCGCAAAAGCTTCCACTCCAAGATCGGGAATGATGGGAGGAGGTTTGACCGGTTGTAGAAGAATACATACAGTACTTGCCGGACGGTTAAATTCTTGGAACAAGACAGGTACAGACTGTAGAGCCTCCATCCTGTGATCTTTATTCTTCTACTTTGGTCTCTTTACACTTTAACCGCTACTGTACTGGCTTTCCAACCCTTTTCTCCTTTTTCTTGACCGGCCAAAATCTAGTCTGACCGTCGTTTCAAAGCGTAACTTTTTGTTACTGAAGAGTCAAAAGCTCTACTAGTCCAAGTGTATGTCTGTCTAACCATGCAAGGTGTCAAAACATGGTTGAGGGGGCGGCGGCAGGACTCCGAATCCAAAGACCCTATGCAGGATGCAGCACACGGTACGGACCCTGACATCCATGAATAATGCCCCAGCTCGCTGTCCATCTCCTGCCCATTGTTCAGGTACATTCATGAGTGCTTTCTTTAGACGTACTACTACTAACCAGGTACATTTGTTCATGGCTGTATGTGAAGCTCCTGGGGTGGCCTGGGTGAGGAATTGTTGTACCAAGAAGAGCAGAAGCGTGAGCAGTAGCAGGGGAATCAATCAAAGCAAAGGTACGTGCATTTTTCACTAAAACCACTCACACCTCCCTAGTCACTAGTACCTTCCGTCCTTATTATAAGATGTTTTGGATATTTCAATATGAACTATATATATTGATTGAAGTAAGTGAACAAATGCACTAAAATGTGTCTACGTACACCTAATTTAGAAAAAAGTTAGAACATCTTATAATAGTGAAGAGAGGGAGTATTTAGCTGCAAGCATGCTCCTCTGATGCTCGTAGTTAGCCCTAATAATATGTGAGAGGACAGCTCAGGTGTCATTGTTTAACACCAGCGCATCTTGTCGGTTACCTCTCCGATTCAGTTGGGTTGGAGCACAGGCCGCTCGTGAGGCACCGCGACAAGGACGCCCCAAGCGTTTTCGCCTTTGTCCTCGTCCTGAATTTTCTTGCATTATCATCACATATATTCACATGCATATATAACAACAACACGGGGAGGTCGGTGCACAGAATTGAGGGCGCTGCTACGAACTGCTAAAACCCACGGGCAAAGGTGAGGTGATGGGGCCGACCGACAGCAAGCGCAAGCGGGTTAAATGAGCGAGCAGCGCTGCCCTTCACGTGGCTTTCTTTCTGCCCTCCCTCTGTGATGTTATCAGTCTTGCCACATTGCAGATTACGAGGCCCAAGGCTAAGACCCCACATGTCCCCTCCTGTGGCCATCTCTTTGTTAATCCAGTTTTCTTTTCTTTTATCAGTGGAATCAGTGTTACCATCTCAGTTCCACATGCGCTTTGCAAGCTCTGTTAGGTAGTCAAGGGCTGAGCTTGTGTGTGCTACTACACAATTGACATGTTGAGTTGAGTTGCCCTGGCACTTGGCTGACGCCAACTGTATATTATGGTTTCGACACCGCCTCTCATGTGACTCCTGCATCCAAAGTTTTATTTATGAACGTGAACCATGGGATCATTATGCTTCTCAATTTGCAGTACGTTGAAGAAAACCGTGAAACACTGAAGAATGTACCACTACTTCTACAGTAGAGTGAAAGAAGGTCTCTAGTGGCGCCAGTAACGCGCCTCACGGGTGGCAGTCACGGACAGAGCCGGCCGCCCGTCACTGTGGTCATCTCAAATCCTCCGTCAAATCCCCTGCCTCCTAGCAGCCTCTCTAGCTAGCGTCGGACGCTTCTCACGCCCGCAACAAAGAGAGAGAGAGAGAGAGAGAGAGGGAGGGAGGGAGGGAGACAGCTCCCGCTTCAAGCCTCCTCCTCCGAATTCAGCAACCGCCGCACCCCCCGCCATACCCTGCCGAGCCATCCATCTCAAAAGCAGCAGCGGGCATGCAGATGCAGTGCAGCTAGCAGAAGCGCCTAAAGCCACCGCCGCCACATGCTGCGTGTTGCCTCTGCCTAGCACAAGCGCAGGCCGGTACGCGCGCACCATTTATCTTCCCCTTCCCCTGCCATTGCCGAGCTCGGGTACGCTGCGAGGTCGCTGCGTCGACAAGGGTGGCCGGGAGGAATGTCTGAACCAGCCACGCAATGCAGGTCGGTCGCTACTCGCCAGCCACCTTGTTGGATTGCTGGGTGCTTTCTCGGTTTCCAGGACAGATTCTTTGATTGTTTATCCGCGGATGCCGCCTTGGTCTCGGCGCTGCCTCTGCTCTCGAGCTGCGTGTCCGTGGCGTGTTAATGGGGATCCTAGAGGATCAGTTCCTGAGCCCTTTTCTCTCATTTGTGTGGATCGCAGGGGAAATGGCGGCGGCGGCGAGGGCGGTGCCGGCGGCATGAGGACGGTGGAGTGCCTCAGAGGGAGGCTGCTCGCCGAGAGGGTGGCGTCCAAGGCGGCCGAGGAGGAAGCCGACCAGCTCGCCGCCAGGGTACACACATTCCGTACTCATGTGTCAACCCCTTTAATTCCTACTGTTGGTTCGGTACAGCTTTAATTTTGTTCTTTGATTCGATGACAGTTGGATGAGCTTGAGAAGAAGCTCTCCGACGAGGTCAAGATCAGGGACAGGGCGGAGCGGAGGCTGAGGAGGGCCATCAAGAGGCTCGAGTCCGTCAAGATTCTGGATGTGGGGAGCTCCATCGGCTCGCTCTCCTCCAACTCCAACGCCTGCTCCGGCCAACAGGCGGCGCCGGAGATGGACGGTCCGGCGAGCTCGTTGAGCACCGTCGATCCCGTACGGTCCGGCCCTCGCGAGGACAAGGGATGGGACGGCGAGAGCGTGAAGGGCTCCTCGGCCGGTTCCTGCACTCAGGCCAACTCCTCACAGGACGGGAGCTGGTTCTCCGTTGTGTCCGAGCAGTCCGGCTCTGGAGTCTGCAAGGAGGAGGAGAGTCGCACGGAGGACTCTGACGACGCCGCGAACGAGAAGTGCGGTTCCGGTGACGGCGCTGGTGACGTTGATCGTGATTCAGAGAGGTACGCGGCGTGCAGGTTTACAAGGAGTGCCTTTTTACTGGTTGTTAAAAAAAGTTGATTAATTAATTGCTTATTATTGCTCTATGGATTATTAGCCTTTTTTGCATAGGTGTTTCCAGATTACTGCTACTAGTTTAGTGCAGAGTTTTACTTTTCCCCCACAGGAATTAGGCTACGTTTCCTCTTTTTTATGTGTTTTCATCATGTTGTTAATGTTAGGTTTGAAGGGAACAATATGTACTGCATGCCTCACTTAGTGGAATAATTGTGTTTAGGATAGAAAAGGAGACGGACGGATTGTCGGCGTTGTTCACATCTGTACTTCAGGCATCCCTCTGTGTGTTCCGGACCTTTTTAGCAGGATAGGAGCGATTCTTGATGTGTCTGTGCGTCTCTTTTTATAGCACCCACTATGTTTTTGCACCATCATACCGATTGTGCTGTGCAGAACTAACGGAATTTTTCTGTGCAGCAGGAGAGAAGAGCAGCCTGGAGCGTCCAGCGGCTCGTCAAAATCCGAAGCGAGCTACCGCGACGAGGAGGACGACAGGCTCGCGCTGGTGCTGGTAGACAACCCGCACTACAGCGCAGAGCCGGCCGAGACCAAGGAGAAGAAGGAGGAGGAGAAAGAAGAGAATGACGGGCTCGCCATGGTCCTGGCGGACCCCCAGCCGAGAGCGACGAGCGTCGGCGGCAACGACGTGCAGTCGGTCCTGCTGGCGCTGCGGCAGGTCAAGGAGCAGCTGCGCTACACCATTCAGAGGAGGTCCGAGGGGCTTGTCGCGCACCGAGAGCTATGCGGTCACTGACCGAGCCTGTTCTGTTCTGGTCTCAAAAGCATCTTTTGTTGTTGTTGCGATGGTCTCATAATTATAAGCATCCCGAGAAGCGGAAGCTCAAGTGTGTTGCACTTGCACTTGCAGTGCTGTATTTATCTACAGCGTTATGAGTATATCTATGCTGGAATAAGCTTTACTGGTGTGAGACGTTGTAGTGGTTGTATATATATTTATATGAAAAGTGAATCCCCTGTGTTGTTTATTAGTGTTCCAAAGCAAAGGGATGGCTTTTTTTTTTTAGAAACAGCAAAGGGATGGCTAGTACACCCTTGCTCACAAATATCAAATATAATACTCCCTTCGTTCCTAAATATTTGTCTTTCTAGAGATTTCAACAAGTGACTATATATAAAGTAAAATGAGTAAATCTACATTTTAAAATATGTCTACATACATTTGTATATTGTAGTTCATTTGAATGTCTAGAAAGACAAATATTTAGGAACGGAGGAAGTACGTTCTAGTAAAGAAGAATCTGAATCTAGATACTTTTTAGTGTATTTGTTCACTTATAGTCCGCACGTAGCCCATATTAAAATATATGCAAAACATCAGCCATTGAAGTGTCGAGCAGCCGAGAGGGTCGCCCACAACGCATCCACGATGTTCGCGCCTATTTAATGCCGAAGATGCGTGACTGGACGAAACGGGATGGATATCTATCATGCCCATTCAATGGCCCGTCCGTCCGTATGCCGCCGTTAGCAGGCTCGTCAGTCTAGAAACCCACTCCGACATCCCGCATTGATGCGTGGCCTCACCGGAATCCGCTAGTTAAAGGTAACCACTCCCGGCTATCTCCACAGGACAACACATCCGCTCCACATACCCTTCCTTTCCTTCACATCCGCCATGACCGCCAGCGAGAAAGCGTCGTGGGACAGTCTGTCGCAGGAGATGAAGCACGCAGTGACCGCCCTTGCCACCGCCTGGCGTAGCCGCCGTGCTAGGCGGATCGAGGGCAGCTCGCCCGAGGTCTTCGACGACGAGGACGATACCACGATGGAGACGGGCTCCGATGACTCCGCACTGGCTCCCGCCTCTCATGTGCACGCCGACTTCACCATGGAGTAGGTGCCGATGCACTTTAACGCCGCCATGGCGGAGGTGCGACATGTGTTAGCGCCTCTATCAGTGTTCTAGCAGGCGCAGGAGAAACAACGGTACAACATGTTCCTCCTAGAGCAGCATCGGTTGGCGAAGGGCCAGATCTACGGCGAGCGCGCGAGCGAGGAGGCCTAGCGGCCATGGCCGCAACAAACCCCAACTTCGTGGCGGAGCAGCGTGCCATTTACGATGTCGTCCGCACTCAAGCCGCCGCTCGCCAGGAAGCGGCCGCCGCGTAGGCGCAGTTGCAAATGATCGCGGAAGAGAACAACGCGAGTTGCGCCTCCTACGCGCTGCCGACAAACCATCAGCCGGACCGATGGGACAAGAACGGCACCGGCGCCACCATTTCCATAGTGGACCTCACGTCCATGAAGGCGGCGGTACCTTGTGTCCCATGTCCGTCTCCTATGTTCTACTCTTCCTTGCCGGAGACGGCACCTTCACTTCATCGGTCTTATCGCCGATGCTTATGAAGACAGCGGATGAAGGACCCTTGCCGGAGACGGCACCTTCACTTCATCGGTCTTATCGCCGATGCTTATGAAGACAGCGGATGAAGGACGACACAGGCTTGAACGCAAGGAGCTGTCGTCATAGGATATGTACAGGGGCAGGCCTTTTTCTGGTTCTAAATGTTTGAAATGTAATGAAATCCGGTAATGTTTGCACGAATTTCATCCGTTTGTTAAAAAAAACTTTGAAATGTATGCCATTAGCTTTGGATGTCGTCCTCCCACATCCATGTCGGCGGAGACGCGGAAAGATTTTTATGGGTTGCCGATGGAGATGCGCTTACCAGACATTCAGATACCGTGGACGTATATAGCATGCATCTGAAACGAACAATACAAACACAAAAACTGAACAGACACGAGTACATGGCTAAGAAGTAGTACCACTACAAAGGGAAACGAAGTACTGTAGTACACAGGTGTCCCCAGACCAGGCAGCAAACAGACTATGCTGCCAGCGAGTACAGCAAGGAAGTCTTCGAGTGCTGCACGGTAAACAGCACTCAAATGGCTCCAAGCGGAGTACAGCAAGGAAGTCATCAAGCGCTACACAGTAAACAGCACACGAATGGCTCCGATAACATCGACGCCATTGGCGTTGTTAGTCTTGTACAAACTACGGCTTCACCGACGTCTCGAGGGGCATGTTTGAGACGACCCTACGAGAAGATGGAATTGATTATTTTCATGTTATGGGATATACGTATAACAGCGGCCAATACCACATCATGGAAACAAATGCTATTGTATGATGATAAGAGCGTATTTAATCTAACCTCAAAAAGGCAGGGACTGTTTTCCATTATGCCGTGCCAGCTACAGTAGCCGTGTCCTGTGTTACACGTGTACAGAGGACAGGAGGAAGACAACGAATTACAACAACAAACATGAAGCACAAGTTCTACACAAAAACATGCCATAGAGTGGAAGACATACCGGCTTGGAGGTGTCTTTGTCCTTTCCTTCAGATGACCCACTAGGCGCTCCTGCAAACCTGGCATAGTAGTTAAGAGATGTTAGATATAGCTTGCTGTTACTTGTTAGGTTTGGGTCCTGGTCGAAAGAATGACTTGACACTGCCGCATTCATCTACCTAAGGGCCCGTGCCTTCCGCTTCTCTTCTTCCGCCTTGCCAACTTCTGTGCTCTGACCAAATCGCTCTAAGCGGGCTTTTTTCTTTGCCTCGGTATCATCAGAGGAGGGCGTGGGAAGGCCAAACCTACAAATTAATGGAAGTATGTATCAGTTCACAATTTGGGGAAGTAAAGAACATACAAGTGCATCACAGGTAATTAAGTGTATATCGCACACCTCTCAGCTCTGGACTTCTTCTTCTGCTCCTCCATCTTTTCATTGGAAGATCCGGTCCCAAACCTTGTAAACAAGATAATTGGTAGCCACATTTCTTAGTATTTGAAATATATCATGCATACAACGGACCAACCAAATAGGAACCACATAAGTGATGGAGAAGACAGAGAATTAGTTGGCATGGGAACAGCTCCTTCAGTTTTCATCAAATTAAGATCACACACTAATATTGAAGTATTCCCTTAACTAGATCGAAGCTGAGTTTCCACTGTAACAAAAATAAAAATAAAAATGATGTTGCTAACCAGTTCATGTACTATCGATCAGTTTAAATAATCCAGCATGTACTAACGATTGTCAATCAGTTCAACAAATTATGTTGGAATCGAGCCCATTAACTATAAAAACTGGTCCGGTCATTTCAGATGTATGCATAAGATATGCACAATCTTTCATAGATATTCGGAACACAAGCATAACATTGGAGAAAGAAGTGGTGAACGGTAACATTCTTTCACCATATAGATACAAAAAAGGTGTACAATAATAACATAATTCATCATACGGGTCTTAATTCTTACCAACATAAACAACGAAATAGTTACAGCATTGTTTACCAAAAAAATTGAATATCTATATTTGCAAATCTTGTCTGCTTAGTTCCAGATATGTGTGTGTTTTCATTGATTAGCAGGTTTTGTCTAGCATGTAGATGTAAATACCATAGTAGGAGAATTTGCCAATATTTCATTAGAGATGGGATGTATTGGGGTTCTAAAATCCTAACACCATGGCAGTCAATGTAATAAACCTGAAAGTCAAGACTATAGAGCCAAAAAATAAGATCATCATTGTACTACAGTAGTCAAATACAATAGAAAGGTTAGAAAAGAATTCAGCAGGTAAAATACTTGACATAACCATAGTTCACGATAGGGCCTGGACATCGCGATCTAGACTAAAGCAGCTTAACATTACAGGACAGTTCACATGCAACAAACATGAGCACCCTTGTCTCCTGGACCATTGGAGATATACCAACTAAGTCGCTTGTTTCTTTGTTCTTTTTGTTTTTTGATTTTGCTTCAGGAAACCTTTACAACAAAGCTTTTGTGGTTAGATACATCCATTATGCATTGTGATAGTTTTTTTTTATCTAATACCCCTAACATCCAGAAGCCACTCGATGGTGTGATGCTTAATTTCTCATACCTGCGTAGATACCTTCAAATCCATGCTTACTGTAAATAATGTAACTAAAAAACTCTAAGGTGAGCGCACTATTATATCCGTCCTATCACTGGAGATAAGCCCCTGGCCAACAATAAACATAAAAGGCTACTACAACAAAATCCCGTAAACTAGAAAAGTACTCCATAACTTCCAGC